ATAACATTGTTTCAAAATTGAAAGACATTAGACAAACAAAATAAAATAGTGGACCCATCTTGTCACCACTTTTTAATCTAACCTATGGCCTCTATTGTTTCTAGCTTTTTTTATCATTTTTTTTATTTCATTCATTTGTTATTTAATTTTTGTTTTTAGTTTGTTATTAGTATATGATTTTGATTATTAAAAGATTTAATGATGTTTTTAAACAAATTCATAAATAAGCTTTAAATATCAATCTTACCAAATTATTGGAGGATTTAAATCTCAAATTATGATTTTTACTAAACTATTGAAAATTTCATAATAAATTTTTATAAAAAATTTTTTTTTTCAATCCTACCAAACTATTGGAGAATTTAAATCTTGAATTAAATCTTACCAAATTATTAGAAAATTTAATAAGTTTTCTTAAATTAAATTTTATAAATAAGTTTTCAAATAAAATCCACCCAAACTATTGGACGATATGTATCGAAATAAATCCTACCAACCTATTAAAGGATTTAATTGACTTTTTTTAAAAATGATTAATTTTTTGGAAAACATGTTAATGAATCCGATGATAGAACATCTTCAGAATATGATATTAGTCTCCATGAATACTCTTAAGATTAAAAAATTATCTTAAATTACTACTAAACTATTTGAGTAATTTTAATACTAATTTTCAATAATTAAATTATTTGATAAAATTATAATTGTGTTTTAAGGCTTGAATAACTTGAAATCAAATTAGTACAATTCTTTGAGTGGGTTTTGTGATAGTGCTATAACTTTTCTCATACGTAACTGCACTCCTAAACTTAAATTTGGTTTCATAAATTAGAATCTAGTATTTAAAGATATCTAAGTCAAGCTTGAGACTCCTCTTTAAATGGGATAAATTCAGTCAATTAGCTAACCACACCTACATAAAAAAAGATTGGTGACGATTTCTTAAATCTATGTTTAGCGATAAGTTTTTAGATCTATATATTGTGATAGTTAGTGCAACTATTAAGGAGTCTTTGAAATAAAAGTTTGTAAAACAAATTTGCTTTTTACTAGAACATATTCAATGCTTTCTTGAAGGTGGTTTTTTTGGTGATCGGAGGCTTGACAAGTATGTGGAAAAAATCATAAAAATTAGGTACAAAAATCCATAATTATGAATGTAAATTTTTTTCCTAAAACTGATATTTGTTATTGATAATTACTTGAAGGTTTATGATTATTATCTATTTGCTATGATCTTACACAATACTTTCAAAGTAATTATCTATCGTAACTACGATAGATCTTTTTAATGATCAGCGATTCTTTTTCACTTCATAAAACAATTTATAGTTAAAAAAACTTTTCTAGCTATTAAGAAGTAAACATTTGATTACACTTTCTTTTTAATAGCTTTTTTTGTCTTTTAGGTAATTTTCTATCTTAACAATGTGCAGTTAACATTTTCTACTTAGTTTTATAGCTACTTTAAAAAAACTTTGTCTTTACTCTTTTAACTTTACTATCCAACTCTTTTAGAATTAGCAATTAATAATATTAACTTTTCTTTAAATTATTACTTTATATTAACTGTACATATTACTCTAACTTTTAATTTAAACAAATATCAATTTAATAAAATATTAAAAATTATTATGATAAACCAAGTGAAGCTAGGCTCCAATACTAATTAATTTTATAATTATCTCATATAAAAGCGTTCTTTAATTCTTTTCAATTATATTATCTTTAACTCATTAACTACTATATAAAAGAACAATTAACAGCTATAAAATAAATTTTTTTTAAACAACTACCTCTTTTTTGACAAGTTCTTCGTTCTCTAATAAAATTAGTTCAATGTGAAGATATACAAAGAAGACGATATGCACACAACTCAAAAAATTAAAACCACAATGAACATATAATTAGTAGATTAAAACAAAGCAATGCTATCATCATACTAGCATCAAATTCACTTTGTTATTGTAAAGACATGTACAAGCATGTAAGCAAATAACTAATCACATAAGGTAAACCATATAAAAAATTGAAAATGTGAGTGGTCAATGTACTTGACACAATAATCTGAGTGCTATCATTGTTTTAATCATCTTACTAACACCTTAACCATATTAAATCTCAATATCAAAGCTTACCTACATTTGCATAAATACAAAAGATGGATTAAACTAGATATAATTGGTAAAAGATATTATAATAAGTTTTTTTTTTCATTTCTTAATCAAACAATGATTGTTAAAAATTTTTTATTTCTTTTAACTAATCGAATATAAAAGGAGATTTGCCTTTGCCAGATCGATGGACACATTTCCCCTTTCTCCCCTAAAATTGTTTATTACATTTTCATCTTCTTTATCTCCTTTTTTAAATTTCTTCCTTGCTTTTCACCTTTTTAATCTTATCAAAGTCTTGTTCTTTCTCCCCTTTTTTATATCTTAGCTGAAATATAAGAGGCATGGTCAATTCTTATTAGAGGTATAGCGACTCACGCTAACGTTCACCCTTGTCGAACCTTTCTATTATTGAGAAATGTCCTCGCTCTGATTACTATAGATACAATTTCTTTTCTTTTGTTTTTTCAATTTCACCTTTTTGCTTTTTTAAGCTATCCATTTTTGTTAATATCTAGTCAATTTAGAGTTTTATGGTCAATTCGGTTAATTCAATTATAAAATTTTGAAAACCGATTTAACCAGTTTAATTTTATCAAAAATCAAATCGACCGCTAAAACTAATACTAATCAAAAGTAACCAAACCAATATAAGTCATCAGTTATGGTCAGTTATCTCGGTTTTGCCCTATTGTTCACTAATATTCAATAATCAACATGTCAAAACAAGATCTTACAATAGAACCTAAAGTAGTATATTATAAAAATCAACAATCATATAAACTCAAATAAAGCAGAATCTATCAATCAATATTTTATATTAGAACAACTCTAAAGTAGGATAAACAATACGTATAAATAAAATAAATAATACAACAAAATTAATTGTTTGGCAGTTTGGGTCACTGACCTTTAATAGTGAGCAACCTTCGGTCCTTTATTGGCATAAGACTTGCCAGTGGAGTTGTGGAGGAAGAAAATCAAACCTTTGGCCATTGATCGATGGTGGTGGAGTTTTTTGTAATTGTTACTAGCTAAGTTATGATTTACAGTATGTTTGGATTAAGGGGAGGGAAGGAAAGAAAAGTAAAGTAAGGGAAAGTAAAGGAAACAAAACCCTCCTTTCTTTGTTTGGATAATTTTTTAATTTAAAGAAAAGAAAAAATATGTAAACCAAATAACCTTTGGTTTCCCTTATAAACCCAAATTTTTTAATACCTTAATTTGAAGGAAAGGCTAGGGAAAGGAAAGGAAAAAAAAATTTTTATATAAAAACTATTATATCCATCTTTTTATTAATACTAAAAATCTAATAAAAAAACCAAAGTAGATCATGATCATTCTATAATTTTTTCGAAGCCATCCTTTTTTTCAAGTAAGTTTTACATATCTCTTCCAATATAAAATTTTTTTATAATTTTTTAGTGATTTGATTTTGATGAATGATTAAATATGAATAGATATATCATGATCCAAGAGTGCTCTAAAATCATAGGCAATGAAATGTTATAATTGAAAATAAATTATTATAATGAATTATTTTCTTCTTTTTACTCTTTATCCAAATAATGGTTGGTAGTTGCTGGCTGTCAAGTGCCAGACTATGAAAAAAATCTAAAGATCTGTGAGGTGATAAGGGTGAAGGGTGAAGTTGTGACAAACAGAGTAACACTATATTTAGATTAAGATGAAGGAAAAAAAATTAAAAAAAATAATGAAAATAGAAAAAATATTTCCTTTATTAGGATAAACTTTTAAGTTAAAAGAAAGAAAAGAAATGGAAGCTCAATAAAATAACATTTGGTTTTTCTCACTTTTTTAATATTCTAATTTGAGTGAAAAGCTAAGGAAAAAAAAGTTGAAAAAATTTTATTTTTATAAAAAGACTATTATATTCATTTTTTATTTATACTAAAAACCTAGTAAAAAGAAACTAACCACTCATAATCTTCCTATAATTTTTTCAAAACCATCTCTTTTTTCAAGTAAGTTTCACATGTCTCTTTCAATATAAAATTTTTTTATAATTTTTTAGTTATTTGATTTTGATTAATAATTGAATATAAATAAACATATTTTTTTATTTATAAGATGTCGAACTAGCTCAAAATTTTTTTATATGTAATATATTATAATTGGAGTTTGTTCAGTCAAAATAACAAATTGCTAAAGTGATAATGTGCTAAAATTTTGGCAATTGCCAAAAAGTCTGTCAATACATACTTATAAAACATATTTATATTTCACTTGATTAAAAATCGCTGATATAATAGCAATTGTGAGACTAGACAAAATAACAAATATATCATGATCTAAAAATTCTATAAAATCACAAGTAATAAAATGTTATAATTAAAAAAATTTTATTATAATGATTTTTTTTTTTACTTTTTATCTAAACAATAATGGTTAGAATTTTTTATAATTTTTTTAATTCATATTTATGCAAACATTACGTAGACGAGAAAGAAAAGACTAAGGTTTCATTTGATAAAATGGGAGCAAAACTATAAAAGATTAAAAAATATTAATAATATATTTATTTAATTTAATTTTGTGTAATTCAGTTTCCTTTGTCGGTTCGGATATCAAAATTCACCACCGACGGCCGACCGAAAAGCCCGTTAAAACTGAAATTGAAACCGATATACGTCCCTAAACCGAATAAACCGATCCGAGTTTATCGAATAAATACGGCTTTGTCGGTTCAGTCGGTTTCACCCAACAAATGCTGTGCCCCATTTTTCTGTGTTTCAAATTTAACCTCTGTTCGGTCAAAGAGAAATCAATAGAAGTAGAGAAAGGAAAATCGTTTGGTGCTGGGGCGTTTGTTTTGCACCAAGCTAAAAATTTGATTTCTTTCATCATAGTTAAATTTTCAACTTTTAATGCATAGCTGAATTCAAATTTCCTTAATTGAAGTAATTCCTAGTGTTAGCATCAATGTTTTCTGCTTAATTGATATTTTCAAGATGTAATTGCTTGCTTACAATATTTGAAAATTAGCATAACTGGTTTGCTCTTTCATGATTGCATTTGGATTAAGTTCATTTTCGGCATGGATGATTATGTATAATTATGGATTTAGAATTTAGAGATGTTTTTTTGGTTCTTTTTCAGTTAAGCAGTGAGCTGTATCTATTATGAGAATAGAGGAATGCCGAAAATTTTGGGAAACCATTGGTTGGTCAAATGACTTTGATTACGTTGTTCATTGTGTCATGTGTGTCAAATGCACTGCCTGTCGTGATTGCTTTTGGTCATCTCTGTTGTCAGTACTATAGTAAAAGAACAAGCTTTGGAATTGGTTAATTGTTTGCTATTTAACTGCTTGACGCGTGGCTTTGTGTAGTTAGGGATTTAAGTGCATATGCATCCTTAACCAGTTTCCTATCTGAACTGTTAATCAATTTCTTTCACCATTACGACGGCGAGAATCAGTATCTTCTTTTGATCTGAAAGAGGAAAGATTTAATACCTATAAACTTTGTGGTTTTTATTTTGCTTAATTGATATGCTTCATACTTGCATCATTCATGTCGGCAAGTTTAGCAATCTTATCATATCTGTTTGTTTTTTGGAACCCTTTGTAGCAGATTCACTAGTTTATTCCAATTGTAACCATCAATATGAGGAGATCAACACTCTGGGTTTGGTGACTAGGAAAGATAACTTGCATCCGCATATTCATAGTTATATATGTAGCAATTTGGTTTTCCTCATTCCTTAATGTGCTTTGGCCTTTGGAATCATTGGATTAGTATGTTGCTCCTTCTCATCCTCATCTTACCCGTTCTTTTTTTCTTGGTGGTTTGCTTGCTGAAGTGTGTGCTTAATCTTGTAGTTGTCTCCGGTGGCCATGAGCTTTCTAGTTATTATTCCTGGGATGATGATGAAGGAGCAATGCGGGCAATCAGAGATAGCGACTCCATTGGAGCATCTTATGATCCTTACTGTAGACATTCAATTTGGTCCAGACTCGGATTTTATGACTCTTATGACTCCATTGTATTATTTTTATTTTTATTTTTTGTATTTTATGTATTTTATGTATTTTATTATTTATTTATTATTACTATGTATTAATATATGTATATATGTATATATTTATTTATTTTTTTCTGTTAATATTTATATGTATTTTATTTATATAGTTATATATTTATTATTATATTATAATTTATTTATTTATTATTATTATTATTATTTTATATTTTATTTATTTTTGTATTTTTATTTATCTAATTATATATCTGTTATTATTATTATTTTTTTATTTATCCTATATTTTTTTATTTATCTTTTCTAATTATCTATTATTTTTTTATTTGATTTTTATTTTGAAAGGTTGAGATTGAAGGCTGAAGAATTCTACTGTGAATGGGGATTCAATCAGAAGAGTCCAGATTGGATTCAAAGATTGAATCCCCGTCCAAACAGAAATTGGGATTGATCAGAAACTCCTGATCAATCCCTATAAAAGGGACCTCTGGAACAGAATGAAGAACAGAAAAAAACAGTGAGCAAAGTTACTGATTTGAGAGAAAAAGAGGTGTATAGGAAGCTAAGAAAAGGTTTAGGAGTGTTCTGGGAGCTAGAAGAAATTTTTTGAAGATTTTTGACAATTTTTTTTTCTGGAAATTTCTGAAAAATTCCAGATTCTGGTGAATTTTTCGACGAAAATTCCAGCCAACCTTGAAGTTTCCGGCGACCTGCTAATTTTCGATGAATAATCTCAGAAATCGGCAAACTTCCGATGAACTTTCGGTGAAAAAATCCAGATTCTGACGACAAAACCCAGAATCCGGTGAATCTTCAACCGAAGTTCTTCGACCTTTTAAAGATAAGGGAGAGGAAAAAGAAAGAAGAGAGAGAGAGGGGAGGAGCGTTCTACCGAAAAACAGAAGGAAGTGCCTTTTATTCCCTCTTAAAACGACGTCGTTTTGGCCTTAAGTGACCCAAAGGATCCGCGCGTTTTGTCGTGACCCGACCCGATCCGAGCGTTGACCCACTTTTTGACCCGCGCGTGCCTGCCCCCTTCCAAGCCGAGCCGAGCCGAGCTCCAAGCCGCCCCGTCGGATCTAGACGTTATGACAGCTTGGCGACTCCACTGGGAACTTTGAGAGTCAGGCCAGCAAATAATTTGTGTTATCCAAAAGTCTAATAAAGTTGAACCTGTTTGTATATATGTATTTATTCATTCATGTTTATCTACCCTGTTAATTATGTCATTCATATGCATGTGTATGACATGAGCTCTACACCGGAGCTCCGTCCCTCTAGGAGGGAGTAAAGTACCTATTGCTTTCGTAAGGTCTAATGCCTCCGCAGTGGCTAGCGAAATACTCTCACTCAAATTGAACCTTTTCCGCTTGTAACCTGTAATGGGTAAGGATTAGGGTGCCTTACTAGTCTATGATGGATAGGGATGTAAGGAGCAATTTGAGGACCTTTAGACTCTGACCTTAAAATCGCATGTAGTGAACCTTAAGAGTGCCTACACCTAAGATAGAGCCCTTTCTACCCAATGATAGATATACCTTGAAATTAGGACACAAAAAGGGTGTTTGTCTAATCATTTTGATTGTTTAACTTTGTGTATTATTTTTATCATATGTAACATTATGCATCAGCATCACTTTCATTTCATCCATGAAACTAACTATGTTGTTTGTCTGATTGTATGCATATGCATTATTTTCATGATCATGTTTTAACACAATCATTTGCATTCATTTCATACTAGATTTTATTTAGAAAAATGTACATTTCATTTGTGTATCAAAGCATCATACATAAGGCACAGCATAACATTTCTAATCATAAGTATGGTACTCAAGGTCCAAGGATAGCTCCATCTAGCGAAAACCCTGTTCATCCATACAACACAAGATCCAGAGCAAGGCAAATGGAGGAGAAAAGTTCTTATAGATTTGAAAAGCTAGAAAAAGCTTAGGAGAAGATTGAAAGTGAACTAAGCAAGATTCTAAAGGCTCTTAATAACATGAATAAAGGAAAAATAGTTGAAGAAAATGCAAGCCAACAAGTTCCCTCGCTGCAAGAAGTGGCTGACCCTTTATATCCTCCAGGTTTTGGCCCACCTCAAGCCCAGTCTGCTCAAGAGGCCCCGCCACAATATTTCGCATATCCTGGAATGCCATCAGCTTTCAACCCAAGTCAGTATAATAGCTATATAAATCCTGTATTCACTGAAAAAGTAGTAGAACCAATTCTTGATCTAGATGATTTAAAAGAGAAAGAAAAAGAAAAGATAAGAGTGGAAGTTCAGGAAAGCTCCAAAATTAGCATGCTAGAGTAGAGGCTACGGGCTATGAAAGGATTTAGCTTTTATGGGTCAGTTGATGTTGCTGGGCTCTGTCTAGTTCCTGATGTGGTTATCCATCATAAGTTTAAAGTACCGAAATTTAAAAAATATGACGGTATAAAATGCTCCAAAACCCACATCACCATGTATTACAGAAAGATGGCAGCTCATGCACATGATGAAAAACTCTTGATGCATGTCTTCTAGGATAGCCTTACTGGTTTTGCTGCCAGGAGGTATGTTCAGTTGGATAGGACCCACATTCGCTCCTGGAACGATATGGCACATAACTTCATCAGTCAATATCGACATGTTATCGATTTGGCCCCTGATCGTTTGTCTTTACAGAATCTGGAGAAAAAGGCAAACGAAACTTTTAAAGAATACGCCCAGAGATGGAGAGATATAGCTTCACAGGTAAAACCTCCACTGACGGAGAAAGAGACCACAGTGCTATTTGTTAGCACTTTAAAACCTCCCTATTATGAAAAGATGATAGGGAATGCAACAAAAAATTTCGGTGACATGATAATCTCTGGGAGAAATATTGAAAGTGCCAGAAAAAATGGCAAGTTAAGAGGAGGAGGAAACCAAGAAGCATCAGAAAGAAAGAAGCTCAAGCTCAAGTGTGAGCTTTTGATAGACAACAATTCAGGGGTTATCAACGCCTATCCATCCTAATGGTTACTCTCATACTATCCTGCCTGTGAATAATGCCTCATCCTACTAGCTAGCTCGCACAACCACCTTATCATCACTTATCGATCCATTTTTAGCCCTCAAGATCTACATATAGCCCTTAACATTCAAGCTCCTGTAAGAACCCAAATTCGCCCTACTACCTAGCAAGTGGGCTCACGAGAACAACGGGACTACTCCGAGGAAAAAACCTGTATTGATCCAATCCCTATGACTTATACAGAGTTATATCGAGAACTCTATAATAGCCATTTGATTGCCCTCAGCTATGTAGAGCCACTTAAACCACCCTATCCAAAATGGTATGATCCTACAGTCCACTGTGACTACCACTATGGAATTTCTGGCCATTCTACTAAAAATTGTACTGCTTTAAAGTATAAGGTACAACGGTTGATCAATGATGAAATGGTAAGTTTTGATCAAGGGAAAGCAACAACACCTAATGTTAGCGTTCTGAGTGAAAGTCAAGAACAGAAAGGGTCTGAAAAGTCACAATGACTTGAGGGGCAAGATGTCAATAGAGATTCTTCACCTGATCGCATAGAGAGACAATTTTAAAGAATGGAGATAAGGCTGGTTGAAGGTTTCTTTGGTCATGTTAGGATTTTTTTTCGAATGAAGGTACCACATATACTCTCAAATGAGGATCTTTGATGCGAGTCTTACAGGTTGCAAATGCAAATATTGAGATCTTACAAATTCGAGAAGAAATTTGTCAGGTAAGTTCCTAATCCTTGAAATAGGATGTCTTCTGGTATCAGAATTGATTTATAAGACCTTTGGGCATAATCTCCTGAAACTCCTTCAAACACAATTTTCAACTCCTTTGGACATGATTGTCAGGGAGCAATTTATTTTTCAAAGTCGTGGTGCCTCTGTTTAGAGGAGCAATTTACTTTTCAAAGTCGTGGTGCCTCTGTTTAGAGGAGCAATTTATTTTTCAAAGTCGTGGTGCCTCTGTTTAGAGGAGCGATTTACTGAGGAGCAATTTACTTTTCAAAGTCGTGGTGCCTCTGTTTAGAGGAGTAATTTACTTTTCAAAGTCGTGGTACCTCTGTTTAGAAGAGCAATTTACTTTTCAAAGTCGTGGTGCCTCTGTTTAGAGGAGTAATTTATGTTTCTCAAAGTCGTTGAGCCTCTGTTTAGAGGAGCTTTAGTAAAAGACAAAAACAAAAAAAAAACAAAAAAAAGAACAAAAAAACACAAAAAACAAAAAAAAATGAAAATGTTGAGTTGAGTCTTGATTGGGTGTCTACGTCTTTGCGTAATTTCTGAGGGGCAGCTGTAGACACCCAATTTGGTCCAGGCCGGGATCAATTAGGCCTGGCCCAAATGGGTAAGCCCAATTCGGTTCCTATTTTGTATTATTTTTATTTTTTTTCTTTTGTATTTTATGTATTTTATTATTTATTTATTATTACTATGTATTAATATATGTATATATTTATTTATTTATTTTTTATTTTTTTTTGTTAATATTTATATGTATTTTATTTATATAGTTATATATTTATTATTATATTATAATTTATTTATTTATTATTATTATTATTATTATTTTATATTTTATTTATTTTTGTATTTTTATTTATCTAATTATATATCTGTTATTATTATTATTTTTTTATTTATCTTATATTTTTTTATTTATCTTTTCTAATTATCTATTTTTTTTATTTGATTTTTATTTTGGAATGTTGAGATTGAAGGCTGAAAAATTTTACTGTGAATGGGGATTCAATCAGAAGAGTCCAGATTAGATTCAAAGATTGAATACCCGTCCAAACATGAATTGGGATTGATCAGGAACTCCTGATCAATCCCTATAAAAGGGACCTCTGGAACAGAATGAAGAACAGACAAAAACAATGAGCAAAGCTACTGATTTGAGAGAAAAAGAGGTGTATAGGAAGCTAAGAAAAGGTTTAGGAGTGTTCTGGGAGCTAGAAGAAATTTTTTGAAGATTTTTGGCGATTTTTTTTTCTGAGATTTTTTGGAAAATTTCAGATTCCGGTAAATTTTTCGGTGAAGTTTGAATTTTTCGGTAAAAATTTCAGCCAACTTTGAAGTTTCCGGTGACCTGTCCAGTTTTCGGCAAATAATCTCGAAAATCGACGAACTTCCGGCGAAAAAACCCAGATTTCGGTGACAAAACCCAGAATTTGATGAATCTTCAATCGGAGTTTTTTGGCCTTTTAGAGAGAAGGGAGAGGAAAAAAGAAGAAGAGAGAGAGAGGGGAGGAGCATTCTGTCGAAAAACAGAGAGAAGTGCCTTTTATACCCTCTCAAAACGAAGTCGTTTTGACCTTAAGTGACCCAGAAGATCCGCGCGTTTTACCGTGACCCGACCCGACCCGAGCGTCGACTCGCTTCTTGACCCGCGCGTGCCTGCCCCCCTCCAAGCCAAGCCGAACCGAGCCGAGCTCCAAGCCGCCCCCATGAGCCATTTCTCTTCCTTGAGCCGAGCCGCTCCAGGTTTTTTTTTCTTTTTTTTTCAGAATTTCTTTATTTATTTGTTTTATTTATTTATTTTTTTATTTATTAGATTAGGATTATTTAATATTCTTTTTATCTTTATTTTATTTTTATTTTTGTTTTACTTTTTTTATTTTTTTATTTTTATTTGTTTTTTTATTATTCTATTTTCTTTAAATGAAAATCAAAATTTTCAAAAAAAATATTTTTAGGGAAAAGTTGAAAGTATCAATTTTCCTTGGAAATCAAGGTTTCAAAAAAAATATTTTTGAGGAAAAGTTGAAAGTATCAATTTTCCTTAAAAATAAATTTTCAAGAAAATATTTTTGGAAAAAAGTTGAAAGTATCAATTTTCCTTGAAAATCAAAATTTCCGACAAATATTTTTAGGAAAAAGTTGAAAGTATCAATTTTCCTTAGAAATAAATTTTCAAAAAGGGATTTTTGAGGAAAAGTTGAAAGTATCAATTTTCCTTGGAAATCAAAGTTTCAAAAAAAAATATTTTGAGAAAAAGTTGAAAGTATCAATTTTTCTTAAAAATAAATTTTCAAAAAATATTTTTGGGGAAAACTTGAAAGTATCAATTTTTCCCACACAAGAACAATCATTCTCTCATTCCTTTCTATTTTGATTTTGATTTTGATTTTTCTTTAACCAATCCGACGACGGAGCCTTTGCAAGTGAAACAGTAGTTTTTCTGGCATACTCTCGAGGTGAGAAAATTTTCTCAAATTTCTGCTAAAAGTATTAGAGTCAATTGAGAATAATTTTCAACAATTAATTACTTGGTAAAATTTTAAGGCTTATTGGATAACACAAATTTAAGCTGGTACCATCTTTTGATGGGCGTTATGAGGGTGCTATAACCTTCCTCACACGTAATCGAACTCTCGAACCCTGTTCTGGTTAGCAGACCTGAACCTATTCTTTTAGGGACCCTTAAGCTTAGGTGTTCCCTGAAAGGACAGATTCTTTAGGTGGCCAATCGCACCTAGATAAAAAAGATTGGTGACGACTCCCTAAAGTCAATGTCTAGCAATAGATCCCTGGATCTAGACGTTATGACACTTACCTTCGCAGCATGGTACTAAACCTTAGGTTTTTTTTATCATTTTTCGTGCTTAAGGTCCAAAATTTTCATTCCATGACTATATCAGTAGAGTTAATAAATAAAAGCACCCTTCCAGCAATTGTCATCATATAATGTGAGCCAGTCTGCTAGACCAATGAGTAGGAGAATTCCTGGCCGTTCTGTTGATGATCCCCATATAGTGGGTATTGGTGGCATTGAACCTGGACAAACAATAAAGAGAGGACCTTAGGATTTGGTGGTGGAATGCCTCAACCTGCCCTTCCTCCTGATGCATCCAGCAAACTCTTTGTGATGGATTTGCCTTCTGACTGTACATGCCGAGAAGTTTCTCGTATCCTTTCATTGGCAATGATTTTTACTTTGGCCCTTTTTCAATTTTCCCATTTAGTTTTATTCCTTCATCTAACTTGACAGATATTTTCCACCTGTTTGTTAGGTACAAGGAAGTGAGACTTGTAAGCAAGGAATCTAGATATGTAAGCCTTTTTTTTTTGTCTTGAATTCAGAGTAAGTTTTCAGTACATTGATAATTCATGATTTGTGCAGCCTGAAGGAGATCCATTGATACTTTGTTTTGTTGATTTTGTAAGCCCTGCTTATGCTGTCACTGTCATGGATGCTTTTACAAGGTTAGCCTGACAAGGGTTTTTCAGTCTCCTGTATTTTGCCTATCAAAATGGTTATATTTAATGGCTGTTATTTGTTATGCCATAAATGAAGGTACTGAACCACCCAAACCCTCATGCACTAGTGAAACATAGAATAGGAGCAAGCAGTCTAATGCCACCTTTGGAAGACACACCATCCAACAACTGCCTGTTTTATTCCACCTCCTCCCCTCCTTGTCCTTTTTCCCTTTTCCCTTTTCCCTTTTCTGATCTTTTTCTTCCAAGTGGGGTTTAGAGAAAGATTCAATTCTTTCCTAGGGTGATCAGATGTGAGAGTGGGGATAAGAATTGAGAAGATTGTAGGGAGATTTGTTTTCAAAGGATTGGCTGCTTCACTGCTTGAGGATTTAATTAGATGGTTCAAGTTTAAAATAAAGAACTCATTTGGATTAGTTATGGCCATTCTGGTAACATGTTTATGTCTGCTTGTTTCATTTGCTTAGAAAGTCAGAATTCAAAGGTAAGGTTCAAAATATAAAATCAACAATATACATGCTTTGAAGGGATGAGTTAAGTCAGCAATTAAAGAGGTGAACAGGATAATCAATGCCTTCACATTCTTCTCTGTAATGTGCTCATGGATGTTTTGGAGGGATCTTTCACTTCATTCTGCATTGCTATTGAGTTTTTTCATGCTATTTAATACTGGAAAATACACTGCTAGAAATTTGCAAGAAAATTGAGTAGACTTGCTTCCTGCGTTAATTAGATTCTCCTAAATTATGCACCTTACTAAGGTTTTATGCTTCATCAGTCCAAAGCTTAACCAATCCTTAGACCATCTGCCTAGACCAACTGCAACACCAACAAATCATCTTTCTTGCAGGCTTTACTCTGTGCAGTCTTGCTAATATTGCAATTAATACATTCATCTGTTCTGGGCCTCTTCTCACCTATTCCCCATTTCCATGGCCATGTTGAAACCATCTCATAAAGTTAAGCAGGAAAAAAAAAAACAGTTTTGAGGCTGAATATTTCCTAGTATTGCTATATCTATTTTCGGTAGAAATAAAAGCCTGGTTTAGCCTTCTGAAAGCCACTGGTCTTTCTCCAGTCCCATTCCATTGTTGCCATTCATTTATGCAGGGAATATACGCTGGATCAATGTATGGTAGCTGAGATTCTGAGAAAGTAAAACTTTGTTGAATGAAATTTGTATTTGAGGTAATGTTTAACATCTTATCACATATGAGTTGTGAAGCCCTATTTGCTCATTCAAAGTGCAGTAAGTTGTGCCGTATAATAGTTAAGCTTGATTTTGCATGTTATAAATTCGATGAGCATGACCATGACTCGGTCAAACTAAGTATGCAATTTGCTTGCTACCCTGGTGCAAGGTCAGGTGGTGGTCATTGTGGCAAGCCTTGAATTGTGCGATTCACAGGTGATTGAAGCTTATTTTATCCACTCAACGTTTTATTATTCATGGCTATTTAGTTGTTGCAAGAAATTTTATTATAAAACAATTAATGACGCTGAATCATGGAAATTGGATGACACTTCTCTGTAGGATTTGCTCAAATTCGGGAGGTTTTATAGTAAGGGGGATGGTATGACAGCCTTGTGGCTTCAAGAATTACACCAGTCTCTGAATGGTTGCTTTCATTAGGATGAACTTGAATTGTGTAGTTTTCGATAATTCTGGGGTAATCACTAGAGTTTTGAGATTTTTCTTTTCTGCTGGAGAGCAGCGAACTGCATTTGGTTTTAATTATGTGAAATGTCTTCATATGCATTTCACTGAGTGCTTCTATACTTTTTTACGTTTGCAATTACGAGTCATCACTTGGAAATATTTGATGAACAATGGACATGCAGTGAAATAGGTATCATGCATAGAGGTGCTGTTATTCATGTGTATTCATTTATCTAAATTTTTTGTTTTTGCAGTTCGGTTCCCATCTCTCCCTCTGTGAAGTTTGAAAAAAAAAAAAAAAAACAAAACAAGAAGCTTTCCTGCTCTGATTTCTAAAAGAAGCCTTCTAACAAGGGATTGTGATTTCCCCTTTATATGCGGGAAGGGAGATGGCAAGCGTTTTCTTTTGCCACCTTCCAAAAAACTTGATCATAGCCCTTTCTTGTAGGCTGTAGTTAGTAGTGCAAGAAAAGACTTTCATTAATACGTCACGATTCAGAGTTATGACTGTAAATTTCAGCATGGACTTTGCCATTAAGTTCTTTTGCCATATTTCAAGCTTGCTGGCATGGGTTCAGCAGTTATTGTTGCTGTGATAATTATTATTTTTGGATTGCATGATGAAGCTGTTTAGATGGTTTGAATAAATATAGTGCTATATTCTTCTCTTCTGAAGATTCAGTTAAGTATAAGGCTAGTTCATCCGTACAGAAATTTGTACTATTTATAATTGCCAATGCATTTTATGGCTTGGGAACAATCATTACTACATTATCCTTCTTTTAAACCTGTTGTCCCCCGAAGTGAATACTCTTTTCCTTGATGGGGTTGGGTGACATATATGACTTAGCCATGCTTGCAAAGGAGATGCATTGATGGTGACAATATTCAGGTATGTTAACAACTCAAGTTCTGCTGTTATATCACCCGCTTTGAATGTTGTTCTCTTAATTTCAGCTACAGAGGCATCACATGCAGTTAAGAAAATGGAGTATCCTAGACTGCTGGAGATTGTGTGTAGAGAGAGACTGATGTAGTATAGGATTTAATGCACACACACACACTGACGGTGTCTTTTGAATTTTCTTTTTGTTTTGTGGAGCTCCCTTTAGTGCTTTATAAAGGAGAATAATGAGGCAATTCAATATCCATGGTTAAAACAAGCTTTCCAACATTAACGATGTTTTGATCCGTGATCTCTGCATTTATATGCATTTCTTGGTTTCACGAGTGTCGCAGATATGATCTACCGAACTGATACTGATGATAATTTTGCTTTGAAATTGATATGGTCACACAAATGTTTTGAAATTGATATTATTACACAAATATTATTTCATGGCTATACTGAAAAATGCTTTCACTACACCTTGAATCATGTAAGACGACTCTCAGCATGCCAAGATTATGGCTCTGGTTTGACTACACGAATTTTCTTCTTAAAGGGTGCCTTGTCAGTTACGGACATTACTCAAAAGGGTTTTTTGTTTTTGACCATTTTAACGGTTCTACTCCATGAGATTTTCTGTTACATAAAAGCATTGTCTACAGCTTAGTTTCCAGTGAAGTCTACTTTAGAAATGCGAAAATTTTATCACCAATCTAGAAGGGTTATAATTTGGAGTTTAATTAATTAATTTATACAATTATTTTTAAGTAATTATATTTAACAGATTTGAGATAATCAAATATCAATATATTTAATCTTTTTTTTAATCTTCATATTGCAATCTTTTGTGTATTAAAAAAATTTACAAGGGATAAGGTAGCCAACAATCGATGAATTGATATCATATATTTAAGCAGATCTGCAGCTACCCATATCTAAACTTCATAGAAAACTTAATGTATTTATTATGTATATTATAGTTTCTGGAAACAGAAAACCCAGTTGTTTCTTTGATGTTGCCCGCAGCTCGGCATTGTCAAAGCACAACCCCAGACAATTACAATTTTCATTGAAGTTGCATGTTAGATTGCTCGAGTAAATTGATTTTGGTTTTTTTTTTAACTAAATAAAAAAAATTCCTTTGAATTATAATTTAATAATCAATTTTCGATCTATAATTAAGTGAACTTTAAGAGAGATCTTAAATAAATAAGGAGAGAAAATAATTTATTTTATTTTATTTTATTTTTATATCTTCCATATAAATTTTGTAGATGGACAGCACTACTGTGCTGTCATGGTCACTTTTTTATTTTTTTGCTTTTTTATATTCTCATTATTAAATTATTTTTCAAGTGGGGTCAGCACTTCTTTTTTTTTAAAGACTTACTTCCCCCTCTCTTTTTTTCGTTTTCCTTTTTTGTAATTATTAAATTAATTTTTTTAAGAAGGTCTCCCTAACTTTTTTTGTGGACCAACTTCTTTTTCCTTTTTGCTATTTTTTATATATTTTTTACTTTTTAACATATAATATTATTAATTTAATTTAATTACTTTCAAGTTTGACTAATATTTTACCCTTTTTGACTTTTTTAATATTTCAATATTTTGTTAACTTTTTAAATATATAATATTATAAATTTATTTTTTTGGAGCTTATTATTTTTGAACGGTGGGATCTATATTTTTTCCCCTTCATTTTTTTATTAATTTTCTTTTCGTATTTTATATTTTATTATTTTTTATATCTTCTATATAAATGTTGCAGATCAATTGGCATTGCGCAGGCCATGCGTTAACTTCTTAGCATTTTTTCTATTATTAAAAAAAATTTAAACAGAGGGATTTAGTCATTTTTAATTTTTAACATATGTTTCATTATAAAAGCAAATTCAGTGGGACTGGCAGCTTTATTGTAGACTCTACTTTTTGATGGCTTATTTTTATTTTTTATATATTTTATATAAAAACCTTTTTGACAAAAAGATCCACGCCTTTTTCTCATTTTTTGTTTTTTTTAAAAAGTACTTTATTTTTGTTATATTTTATATATACTTTTTACTAATTTTTTTATTTCATTATAAATATATTATTTTTATGTGGGACCCATTAGTTTTGATGGTGCCCATTTTTTGTTATGTTATTTTTATTTTTTATTTCTTTTAATGATTCCTATTTTTTTAACTGTGTGCTCTAATTTTTTATTAGCATGTGGGATTCTTTCTTTTTTTTGGCATGTTTTTTATTTATTTTTTTAAATGTTTAATATATATTTTTTTTTAGTATTTTCCTTGACTAAGACATTCATTAATCTTATTCATCAAATTGAGTAGTTTTAGACAAAATTCCTAAAATGAGGCATTTTGTATGCGTGGATTCCACGTCAAACCAAACTTTTTTAATTAATTAAAATTTTGTAAAAAAATTTATTGGAAAAGGCTTATTATATTTCTACATTAATTTTTTCAATAAAAAAATGTAATTAAATATTTCACAATTAACAGAGAATAATTTTTAAAAACTCTAAAGAGAAATCAAATCAAAGGAACTAAAAAAATCTCAAAATCTTAAAATTTTAAGCACTAAGTCAAGGTGGAGCAAGAAGCCATTTTTGTACAAGATGAAATGAAGGAAGAAGATGCGACTTTGAAACCCAGAACCGACGATGCACATCTTCCTTTTGGATTGAATGCGATATTTGCTAGTCAAACGACAACTCTTTTTTATCCTATTTTCTTTACCGCTTCAAACCATTACATGTTGCTTGATTAGTTTCTTCTTCATATAAAATTAAAAACTAAATTTAAAGAGAGATGCAGAGAAGAGGTAAGGAAAGGAAACGATCTCATGGCTCACCAAAAAACCAGCAAAAATATAAAAAATTTCTTGATACAAAAACCCACAAACAAAAAATAAGAGAGAAAGAGCAAATTCAAAACTAAACCCAAAAATTTAAACAAAATAAAAGAATGAAAAAAAAAATTAAGACAAGAGAAAGTTTATAGCATAAAATTTGAAAAGCACTTTTTTTTACTTGAAACTTCTTGAGATATCTTTTCATTATGAAGGAGAATTATTCATTCTTATGGAGTTGCTGGGTTTGCAAGGATAGCAGCAAAATATTAAAGATCACGTTATAATATCTTGAATTATTTTGTATTCACATTTTTTTCGGATTTCTTTTAAAATATTCTATTTTTGGAGACTTTTTTCATGTCTAGCCAATGATTTTTTTGTTGGCAAAAGAAAAAAGAAAGATGAAAGAGTTAACCAGATTGGAAAGAAGCTAGGAGAAGGCGAGGATCGGAGAAAGAAGAGTAACGTGAAATTAAGCTGACGTGTAATCCACTTGTACAACAATACCTACTTTTGGCAATAAAGTTTAATAGTACCCCAATATGATAATAAGATTATAAAAGTACATTAGACGGGGAAAAAACTCCAATTTTTTTACCCACTTGATATCAATTTTAAAAAAAATTTAATTGATGTTATATATATATATATATGTATTTTTTTTTTAGATTCACTTGATATAAAAAATATGTCCCGTATTTGTTTCTTCTGTTTTAAAATTTTTTTCATTCTCTATTTTTTATATTTAATAAATAATTTTTAGATTTTATATTTTTCTGGTAACTTTTTCAATACTAAAGATATGTTATGTAGTAGGACTCGTTTATTGTTTTGAGTTATTTTTTTTCAGTTTTTTAGTATTTTTAATGATTCATAATTTTTTAACGCCTAATTAATTCTCTATTATATTCCTTGTGAGTCTTTTTTTCTTTGTTTTTTGTAAATCTTTTTTGTGTAGCATTTTTATTTATTTTTTAAATATTTAATATATTTTTATGGATTCAATTAATATCAATCTTTTTATTTAAAAAAAAACTTAATTAATTTTTTAGATTTTTTTGTTAGACTCACTTGAAACCGAAAATATGTGGCATTTTTTTTTTCAATTTTAAATTTTCTCTTTTTTCTCTTTTTTTAAGATATTTAATAAATAACTTTTTAAATTTTTTAATAACTCACTTGATTTTTTTTTTTTACAAAACAAAAATATGGTGAATAGATGTGACAAAAAAAAACATAACTAAACAAAATAATTTAAAATATGATACTATAACATGATATAAAAAATAAATATAAAAATAACATAAGATAATATTTTAGCAAAAATATATATGGATTAATTGAAACAAAAATATATATTTTATATTTTTTATGTCAATATAAATTAAAATACGTAAATTTTATGTAAAATATAATATTAATATACGTATTTTTAATATTTTTATTATATTAATACATAAATTATCATATCTATTTGTGACAACATCAAGTATCATTTTGATATATATTAATTATATCACATAAAAATTTTTATCTAATCTATTGATGTTACATGAAATTTTATTTTGATTAGTAAAAATAATAATAGTAATTTAATTAAATGTAAATAAATATTGAAATGATTGATTAATTACAATAAAAATAAAAAAATTATATGATTTTTTAATTATAATTTAGAAAATTTTTTATTCCTTTTAAATTTTTTATGGCTTCTAGAATTCTTAAAAGTCGTGATCTCATTAATCAGCAAATGCGGCACTCAAGAAAAAAGATGTGCAAGTTGGGACTGCACGGGATTATCGGAATGCCTAGTTGCTTAAAAAAAAGTTTAGATAGAAATTTTTTATGTAAAATTCATAAAATTTTTTATTAGAAGTAATTAAATAAAAATTAAAATTGATAGGTTAAAATGTTTTGTTTTATAGATTAAGTGTATAAAATTTTAATATATTTTTTCAGATAAATATTTTTAATAAAAATATTTATAAAATTTTTACTATTAAATAAATATTGATCAAATTTAAATTATAAATAATATTATTAATAATTATTTTATATAATTAATTTTTATATTAAATTTTATTAATCTGTCGATTTAAAATTTTTATTAAATTATTTTAAAAAATATAATTCATAAATTTTACTTAAAAAATTTTATGTAAATTTTATCCGGTTGCTTATTGATAATACGAGAGATAAGAAAGGCTGAAAAAGCGCTCTCAAACAATGAAAAAAAAAAAGAATTAATTAGTAAATTAGGGATACCGAAATGCTGATGAGAGGCTGATATATCGGGTGAGATTTTGTTTTGGTTTAACATCGTTATGGCTGAAAGTAGTTTTTCTGTTTAAAAGTTGATTTTGAGTTTAGATCTAATGTTAATGTTAAATAATAAAGAAATTTAAATTTTCACTTCAAAAGCTTGGTTTTCGAATTCAAACAAAAAATTTTTTACAATGTGTTTTTGGAGAGAAAAAATGTTTTTATGATAGAAAATTATTATATTATCTTTATATTTTTAATATTTTATTATTTTATACATATGTGTTTAGATATTTTAAATATTTATAAAATTTTTATAACAATATTAAATAATTAAAATTTTTAATTATATTTTTCTCATCATATTTTTTAAAAAAATTTTAACTCAAAAGTTTTAACTGCAACAATTATATTAAATTAATTTTGAAGGGACATTTGATTTGGGGGAAGTAATTTTTCTTCTTAAAATTTTACTTTTTATAATTTGATTCTCTAATTTAGTTTACAAGAAAATGATGAAATTTTTTAAGATTTTTAATAGTATCAAAAAAGAGAAAGTGGAAATAAAAAATTCTCCTTTCCTTGAGTTTTTAAGATTTTGAATGAAAAGTGAATTTTTTTCATCTGTTTTTACTTAATTGTAGGTTTAAATTATATAAACAACGTTATTTATCTTAAAAATATAATAATTTTTTATAAAATATTATAAAAATAATTTTTTAATATATTAAAATAAAATTATTTTTTAACGCAATATTATTGAAATCCTCATAAAAATTATAATTAAAAATATAATTTTTATTAAAAAGATAAAAAAATTTATTTTTCATAATTCAATACAATGATGACATTTTTAAGACAAAAATCATAGTTTTTTACTTTTTGTTAAAAATATTATAAAAAATTATTTTTCAAAATTTAATAAAATTGGTGTTTTTAAGATAAAAATGTAATTTTTGTTGAAAATGTAAAAAAAATATTTTAAAATTTAACAAAAATGATGCTTTTAAAATAAAAATACAATTTTTATTGAAAAGATAATATTTTTAAAATAAAAATATAATTTTTGTTGAAAATATGAAATACATATATTTTTTAGAATTCAATAAAAATGAGGTTTTTAAGATAAAAATATAGTTTTTATTAAAAATATGATTTTTTTAAAATAAAAATATAATTTTTGTTGAAAATATGAAAAAAATAAAAAATAAAATATTTTTACTTAATATTATTACATATAAAATTTAAAATATCATTTATTTTTTTATGTAAAAGTAATCAATGTTAGGATAATAATTAAAATTATATGATTGTATTTATTGAAAATATAAAAAAAATTATTTAATTTTAACAAAAATAATATGATATTCATATATCACGTGTTATTTATATATTAATATTATAAATATTATGTATTATTAATATGTTATCAAAAATAATATAATAAAAAATTTATTAAATGATTTTATATTTTTTTATATCAAATATAAAAATTTTATATTTTTTAAATAAACAAAATTTAAAAATCATATTTTTTTTCAATATTATTTTTCACCCAAATTATTTTCGCTCAAAAGAATTTGCGACTTAGACGCCCCTAGAATTAAGGTTTAAGTCATAATACCGGGATGCCTTTGATGCAACGACAAAAAACGAAAAAGACAAAAGGGTAAATTCCCAATTTTTTTATGATGGTGGACTGACTGCGAAGGGAGGTGAAAGTGAAGCTGTCCGCAACAACTGGGGAAGGAATCTGCTGAGTTAGATCCGATAGCGAAACAACTGTTTCTATCTGTCTTGATATGGCAGAGGCAGAGTTTGGCTTTACTTTAACTGAGCTGACACTCTCCAGTCCCCACTTCTTTCCCCCTTTTTTTTTTTTTTCTTTAATTGTTGATTCTTTTTAACGACATCCCCCTACCATTTTCATCCTCTCTTTTTCTTAATAAATGAAGGGTAAATGCTAAGTCAATGTGAATCATCCTTATGCAATTATGAAAAGTAGACTTTTTTTTTTCAATAATTGTATAGATTTTTAAGATTAAATTAATTATAAAAATAAATTAATTAATGTTTGCCCAAGTGACCCGGTAGGCCGGTACTTGTAGGGAAGTAGCATCAAAATGGCCGAAAATTAAATTTTTGCCATTAATTTGAGAAGATTCCAAGAGATTCTCTTTTTCTCGTGCTTTTAATCTTTTCTTGTTTTTTTCCTAAGGTATTTTCTTTTCAATCTTAGCATACCAAATTACCAACCAACCCTCCAACCTTCTCAACTTGCCGTAACCAAGAAACATGGCTTCTACACAAATCTCAGTCCATCTCTGCCTCTACAACTACCACCAATGGCCAATGCCATAACTTCCCTATATGTGATAGATATTTATCCAGAAAAGAAAACCCTTTCTCGTGAAACCCTTTCTAGAAAGCTAAACCAAGAATTTTGTGAAACAACTTATACCCAACTACATCAATTTATCTACTTTTTTAATCCTCTTTAGATATGTGTATTCTTTGACTACTCAAAGACTGCCATATGAATCTTTAGAATCCTTGTAAGATCCTGACGAACAACTACACGCATTATCTTACTTTTCTGAGAATCAAAAACTTTTGCTTTCTTGCTATTTCTTTTTACTATAATTTCCCAAGTACCAACCCCAACCATCTCTGTTTTGCTATTTATTTCTTCTGTGCTTAGCACTTGCATGTTTCTTCTTCGGTATCTGGTTTGTTGATGTGTGTTCTTGCTTTCTATGTTGCATCTATTAGCAATTGCATCACTTTGTCATAAGAGAATATCTGAGATGGAGGCCTTGGAGTTGGAGGGGGTTGAAGAATGCCCTGTTAAGCAAGTTGAATTAACCGTCCCTAAAACTGATGATCCAGCGTTGCCTGCTGTCACATTCAGGATGTGGGTTCTGGGCCTTGGTGCTTGCGTTATTCTGTCATTTGTTAACCAGTTCTTTTGGTATAGAAAGATGCCATTGAATATTACCTCAATTTCTGCCATGATTGCTGTCGTACCCCTTGGCCATCTGATGGCCAGAACGCTGCCTCGTCGTGTGTTCTTTAAGAATACCAGATGGGAGTTTACAATGAACCCTGGACCATTCAATATGAAGGAGCATGTTCTGATAACTATTTTTGCCAACTCTGGCGCTGGATCTGTTTATGCTACTCATATTTTGAGTGCAGTTAAGCTATACTATAAGAGGAAGCTTACGTTTATCCCAGCCCTCCTTGTTATGTTTACAACTCAGTTTTTCTTCTTTTCCTCTAATTCACAGGCTTTATCTCATTAACTTCTTCTCAGAAGTCACCATACTTAATCTTCTGATGTTTAATTATTGTATATATTCATATGCTTGGTTAGCAGTAAAGTTTTTATCCAACAATTTCCCTCAGATGACGAATGGATTGTTGCATTTGCGTATTTCTTTATCCTGGACTTTTTTGTTAGTCTTTTAAAGGGAAATCCTGTATGAAACAATTAGTACATATTCTAGAACCTGCGGAATCATTTGACATCTTAATTTTCCTTTAGGGTTGTTTATGACAGAAGTTCTGAATTGATAAACAACTCTGTTACTTGGAGATGTTGCTTCAATTAGCTTGACATACTATATTCTTTCATGAAAATTTTAGAAAAGAGAATCTCTTGTATTATTTCACTATGCTCAAATATAATAATTTCAACAACATTTTGCGCTTTTTCTTTCGCCAATGTTTGTTTTGGTCAATTATGATTATTTGTGTTTCCAAAGCCTCACTAACTAAACAAGGAAATTTCCAATTCATGTTTCATATATGTAATTTTCTGTAGTTTAAATGGTTTTTCAGCAAATACTTATGACTTAAATGACATCTAATAGGATGAAGTTGCTCTTCTTGTTTGATTATAGGTTTTGGGTTTTGGTTGGGCTGGGATTTTCCGGAAATATCTGGTTGAGCCAGGGGAAATGTGGTGGCCAAGTAACCTGGTCATGGTCTCCTTGTTCAGGTATTCATCTTCATATGCAATATGCATCCATCTGCCAATGACCAATGTATCTCATATATCCTTTCTTACTGAGACAACCGTTAAAACTGCAGGGCGCTACACGAGAAAGAAAAAAGACCAAAGGGTGGAACTACTCTTAACCAATTCTTTCTGCTGGTCTTGATCAGCAGCTTTGCCTACTATGTCCTTCCTGGCTATCTTTTCAGTACATTGACATCTTTCTCTTGGGTTTGCTGGTTGGCTCCCAAGTCCATTTTGGTCCAACAACTGGGGTCAGGCTTGAATGGCCTTGGAATTGGTTCTTTTGGCATCGATTGGGCTACAATTTCCTCGTACCTTGGGAGTCCACTTGCTAGTCCATGGTTTGCTACTGCCAATATTGCTGTTGGTTTCTTCCTTGTAATGTATGTCATAACACCGCTCGCATATTGGTTTGATGTCTACAAAGCCAAAAACTTTCCCATTTATTCTAGTGAACTTTTCAAGTCAAATGGTGAATCATATGATATTTTGAGCATTGTTGATCCCATGTTTCATCTAGACAAGAAGGTTTATGAGCAGAATGGGCGAGTACATCTCAGCACTTTCTTTGCTATGACTTATGGCCTTGGTTTTGCTACACTAACTGCTACGATTTTCCATGTCCTACTATTTGATGGGAGGTAAGCCCTACTAACAACCCTACTAACTAAGTAATATGACTTTGAAAGTTTTGTTGGCCAGAAGCCTAGAAGAAAATCTGCCTGCTAAAGATAAACATGATACGATGCAAAAATGTTATGCTTCTTATAAATATTATATATCCTAGTTTTCTCATTTTCCCCTGCTATATGCAGGGACCTATGGAGAGAAACCAAAAGTGTGTTTCTAGGTAATAAGAAGATGGATATTCACACAAAGCTTATGAAGAAGTACAAATTGGTTCCTACGTGGTGGTTTGTTGTAATCCTTGTGTTGAATATTGCCCTTGTACTATTCACTTGTGAGTACTATAATGAGTCACTTCAGTTGCCTTGGTGGGGTGTATTGTTAGCTTGTGCCATTGCTTTTTCCTTCACCCTCCCAATTGGTATTATTGCTGCTACCACGAATCAGGTAAATGAAAGGCTTCAATTGTAATTTGTGTATTCGACTAGAATTACTGTGTAAAGCTCTTTGTCTGCATTGATATTTTATTTTATGTTCCTAAAATCAATTCTTCTGTTTTTATGCATCGGTAGGCACCGGGTTTGAACATTATTACTGAATATGTGATTGGATATATGTACCCAGAGCACCCTGTTGCTAATATGTGCTTCAAGGTGTATGGATACATAAGCATGACTCAAGCTCTGACCTTTGTTTCCGACTTCAAGCTTGGCCATTACATGAAGATTCCACCTCGATCAATGTTCATGGCACAGGTCAGTTCTCTGTCTGCAATCCCAAAAATCATGGCTCTCTTGAAAGGGTCGACTGTAAATCTATATTTTTGATACCTAACAGGTTGGCATTGCAGGTGGTGGGAACACTTGTGGCGGTTGTCGCGTACACCTTAACTGCATGGTGGCTTATGAAAGAGATTCCCCATCTTTGTGATACATCCTTGTTGCCACCTGACAGTCCATGGACTTGCCCAATGGACCGTGTGTTCTTCGATGCATCCGTTATATGGGGGCTTGTCGGACCCCTCAGAATATTCGGAGTGGAAGGTGAATATGGTAATGTCAATTGGTTCTTTCTTGGTGGAGCTCTTGCTCCTTTCCTAGTATGGCTGGCACACAAGGCATTTCCAGATAAGGAATGGATTCGTTTTATCCACATGCCTGTCCTTTTAGGTGCAACATCTATGATGCCTCCAGCTACCGCAGTAAACTTCACAAGTTGGCTTATTGTCGGCTTCCTTTCTGGATTTGTTGTTTTCAAATACAGACCAGATTGGTGGAAGCGCTATAATTATGTCCTCTCAGGTGGTCTTGATGCTGGAACTGCTTTTATGACGGTCTTGCTGTTTCTTACCCTGCAATCAAAGAATATTGGCCTCCAATGGTGGGGAAATAATGGAGAAGGGTGTCCTCTTGCTGCTTGTCCAACTGCAAAAGGCGTTATGGCTGATGGGTGCCCTGTTACCTAACATTCGTGTTAAAACTGATCTCTTTTATCTCCTATAAATGGTTGTTTTCAACAATTTTCTTCTGGGGTTCTTTTGACAATTATCCTTAGTTTATGTATAATTGATTGAATTTTGCTAACGACTACTCTAATTATCGTTCATAGTAATATTTTTATATTAAATGCAATAATTAACAATTAATTTGATGAATTTTGATACATTAGTAGAAGACGTTACCAAATATTTGTTAGCAAAATCATAATTTATTTAACCAAAACATATAATTATGTCTTTAGCTTTGTGTATAGACCAATGCATTTATTTACAAAGTTCTGAGATTAGAAATATACAAAAGGTCTAATGAGAAAAGAAAGTAACAGAGAATAGGAGAAAATTTTGTAAGTGTTGAAATTCAAACATCAGATTTATTGGATGTCACCTTTTTAAGATGATTGCATATGATTACATGAATTAACTTAATTAAACCATAAATTTATGGACAAAAATGTTTGATCTTGCTGTTAAAATGGTTTATCTATTTCACAAGGTGGAAATCAAGCTAAATTAAAAACTTCAAAAAATAGAAATTAGTTTTCAGTGTTCATATTGTCATTATATGGCAATTAGCATCATCATTACAAAATGTCCTAAAACTATGCAATTATAAAGAAGAATGTATGAGAAACGAGAAAATGCTATCCCACTCATGGGACTACAAAACATCCCACCTCTTTTTAACACGGAACATTAGAGATGATGATTTAATGTCATCCTGTGGTACCTGGAGCATAAATTGGACCTTCATCTTCATTGGGGCTGTCTTTGCCTTGCCGTTTTCGTCTCCAACCTGAAATGATGATATCAAGAGTTATCAAGTCATGCAAACACAAAGCTCATCATCATGGGAATCTCAAGCAAACAATGCAGGCTTTGCCTTTAAGGACTATAAAGTTCAGCAAACGGAAAGCAAAGCAACAAAGTTAAGCAAATACAAGAACTTTACCCGTAGAGAAGCCCAGCCAAGACAGACCTCCGAATCATAGCCAGCTTTGAATTTGAAGTCTTTGTCATATGTGTGTTTGTAGACAGCACTCCAATAGTTTGTATCAAGATTGTACCAGTAGCTGCAGAAAAATTCAAAAACTGGCCATATAAAACACTTCAATAAACATAGGCATTGCAGTAAAAATAACTCTATATCTCATGCACTAAATATGTTCCTACATATAATAATCTCATGCAAAACAAAGAAACAGTATCTATGGCCAATAAGCAAAAGTAATTCCAAGACAGATTTCAATTTTGACAAAGAGGGGGAATTCTAACCTCAAATTATCTGATGGACTGAAACGTCGCTTGAATGGAAATGATAAAGCATTTGATGGCAGTGAAATGCTAGGAATAAATGACATTGCCCCATCCAGCAATTTGAAAACCACCAAAACCATCTACTAAAAGGAAGCACTCAAAAGCTGGAAAATTGCACATTCCCATCATTTTCCTGTGAAGGTGATCAGTCACCTTGTTCAAATGTGGAACACCTAGCCATCGAAGTTATTCAACAAGAAATATACCAGCGGATCTCCCATAGAAGCCACCGTAGCCTATCAATCAATGAAATAAACAAGAACACAAGAAGATGGTTATAAAACTGAGGAAAAAACAACCTTAAACGAGTATCTTAATTTCAGTTCTCCATCAATGTAATGAGCAGAGCACAGACCCCGTTAAAAATTGGACCTTTAAGTATTCCATTTATCGACAATGTCCTTGACACTTCCTCCTCTTCTCTCTCCTCCAGTGCACCTTCACCCATGGGGAATCTAATTGTTGCTTTAGGCTGCAACAACAGGAAAGTAACAGAGGCAATTAGAGGGAAAAAGGGTATGACCATGTTTTAAGTAAATTAAAGTTGAAAGGAAGCACAATGGAAGGTGATAATGCATAAGCATAAAAATGCAAGAGAACTACCATCAATTAAGTGTTAAGTGATGCAAGAACATTGGTTGACTAATGCATACTGACAATAACAACAATATGAAGCCACATAAATTCTACAAGTGAGAACCAAAAAAATGGCTGAAAGTGAATTACCAATTACTTTTTCAACTTAATGCTCTGATAAATACCCAGAAGAGACAATATAGATAAATAGCCAAAAAAATTGAAAAACAGCTTAAAGTGCAGCTATACTATCAAGTATCACCTGGGAACAGTAAGGACTCCAATTTTCCTGAACTTAACTAATGCTAAGTGATTGGTTTTCACTAATTAGATACTAGGATAAATAGTACTCACCAAACGAACATATGGAACAGGAGATGATACTTCAACAGCATTACTGGGATCGGAAAGGTTTGCGATCATTGCCACCTTGTTGTTCCTGAGAAAAATATGAGATATCAGATGGGATAGCATATGCGGCTTGAAGGAAATATTCATTCAGCACTCAAACAACAATTGTGATAGTGTTGGCTTCAGAAGCAATGATAAATTTCCGATTCCCAAAAGTATCTCATTTTAAGAAAAGAAAAATGAGGTTTCAAAGATAAAAATCCAAAAGCAAAAGGATGTTCAAAAAGTTCTTCAACAATACCAGCTTGACCATTATATGAAAGCAAAGTCCTGTAAAACCTCATCACCAATTTCATGAACACTTACACCTCAAATGTTCAAAAACCAACACCAAAAACAAAACCCGATTCTCAAATTTTCTATTGTAGCATAAGAAGAGAAATTGCACTTCCTTAGAAAATCTGCATCCTAATAACTGTCACCAAACAAAACAATCTCTCAATCTCCCATGCACAGCAATAAGGTCAATAATTAGGGTCACATAACAGTCCCATGTTTTCAATTTTATATATTTCCATTAACATTCGCAACTCAAGCACTACCACTAAGCAGAAAACATGTCTTTAAAGGAAAAAGGCAAACCTTGAGATCATGGGCAGCTTTGAAATGCAACATAGGACCCACATCAAAGGAGCCTTTGATGAGGGCATTTTGTTCTTCAGGATCGTAGTGGATGGACAAGTACTTTGAAGTTAACGCCAACAGGAGCTCCGAGATCTCGCGTTTGTTGTTGTTGATGAAGGAGAGTTTGAGCTTGGCAAGGTTGTCAAACAGCTAACAAGACACCTTGTGAAAAAATACGCAGCTATCACTGTCAAATTCTGAAGTCACTCTGAGGGAGGGCCTTTTGGATATCAAAGACGGAAAGTGGTTGTGATTGGGATTGGTGGGTGTTGCAGATGGTGGCGGTGTCTCTAATGGCGGTGGAAGCGACGGTGAGAGTGGTGGGAGTAGGTAATTGGGGCTTTGAGGAGATGGTTCCAGCATTGCTGTTTTTCGTTAGCTTCGTCTGTAATTCAAGTGATGTCTTGTATTGAAAGGCTTAAAACTCAGGTCTTCAGTTATCACTTATCTAAACTCCAAGGGTTATTCATCAAGCCATGCTATTGCTTTGTTTGAAACAGAAAGCGTGAGATGTCCTTCGCATGGCTGTGGCCTGTGGGGCTGTTGTAATCAGGCGCAATTTTTTGTTAGGAAAATAGGGTCCAGTCCCATGTAAGTGGTTTTGGATCAAGTAAAGGTCATGAGCCTTGATCTTTTATTTTACACAGAGCCCTAACTACTTAATAAAAAAGAGGTGGGGTTGTTTTATGTGTGTGTCGACAACCAAGCAGAGAAAGAAGAAAAGCCAGGAAAAGCAGAGAGAGAGAAAAAGGAGAAGGGAGAGTTGGTTAAACGGAAGTCGATCCGTGATCCGATTGAGTTGGAACCTTGTCAGGAGGTTTATGATTCAGAGTTATACATTCTGAACGGTGAAGATCGGGTTTGAAGCTCTCTAGGAACAAATCCAGGGTGTATTTATTAAGTCACTTATTTGGTGAGATTTCTCCAATTGTTTCTCTAGTTGTTGATTAGCTCTAGTTTTAGCTAGAGAAGAACTTTGTATAACTATTATTTGATAGTGAAGATTTTTCTGGTGGTCCGTGGTTTTTCCCTCTACACTGGAGGGTTTTTCACGTAAATCTTGGTGTGCTTTATTTTTCCTGCGCATTTGATTATTGATTGTTGTCTATTGCTTCTGTATTGTTGTGATTATTGCTTCAGGCGCAACAAGTGGTATCAGAGCGAGAGTTATTTTGAGACATCGATACAGAAGCAACCCAGGATAGAAGTAAATTCTGTTTGAAATCATGGAGGGTGATACAGATTCCATGATAAAATTGACAGCATCAAATTATTCAATTTGGAAGCCTATGATGGAGGATCATCTATACTGCAAAGATTTGTATGAGCCAGTATTGGGTGATTCGACTAAACCAGCAGATATTAAAGATGAAAGCTGGAAGAAGCTAGGTAGAAAGACGCTGCCGCTACAATCAGAAAATGAGTTAGATATCAGCCGTGTTTCATCATGTAGCGCAGGAGTCAGATGCCTCACATTGTGTGGGAAAATTGGGCAAGCATTGTATGAAAGAAAAACAGGTAGTGAATAAAGTTATGCTTGTTAAGAAGATTGTAACTTTACAGTACAGGGATGGACGATCTGTTACAAAGCACTAAGTGATTTTCAAGATAATATTTAATCGGATGACTACTATGGAACTTAAGATGGATGATGAAATTGAAGCATTATTTCTTTTGGTTCATTGCCAGACAGGCTGGAATACTCCTAATTTGTGACTGTTCTTTAATTCAGCTTCCTGATTATAAAGTGACATTGGAGATGGTAAAGGGACAATATGCTTAATGAAGAAGCAAGGCGAAAGATGTAAGACCCTGGAATCAAGCTCTGGTCACAGAGAACGGGGGTAGAAACATCGACAGAGGCAGGACTCAAAAGGTCGTGGTAAGTCTAAACATAGATCCAAGTCTAGAGGTAAAGTGAAATGTTTCCATTGTGGTAAGGCGGGTCATATAAAACGAAACTATAGAATCTTAAAGCAAGAGCGAAAAGATGAGAAAGGCAAGAGTTCAGATGATGGCAATGTTGCAGCAGTGAATTCAGATAGTGATTCAGTTACTTTGATTTGTACACATGGTGATTGTAATCATGTTAGTGATCCCGGCATTGAGTGGATAATTGACACAGGAGCGGCATATCATTGTGTTCCTAAGAGAGAGTTGTCTACAACTTACAAAGCAGGAGACTTTGGTTGTACCAAGATGGGAAA